GGTCGAGTCAAGCAAATATTGAATGGTAGTTAAACTTGGAAGAAAACCTGGAATATTGATGCGAATGAATTCATACACATTTCGACCACCGAGAATGTAGACACACGAAGCAAAATCACGAATAGAATCATTTTAAGAATAATGAGTTTTTGCACGATCATGATTGGAAATAATTGTTTCGACAACTGTATATTTAAAAGTGTTGAGAAAACGATTCGATTGCGATAAAGAATTTTGAAATACATGAATAATATCTCGAAGAATAGGATGTTGATCGAGAAGAGCAGAAGAAATAGTTATATCGCTAGCTGTCGATGAATATGTTTGTTGTTGAAGACTACACAGCTGTAGTGTCCCGAATAATATATGACGTTAAAGCGAACACATTTATTGGTTTCACACCTCCTCTTGAAAATGGCTTGCCAAAAATGAATTCATTTTCAACTGAATCCTTTTCTGAACTCGAAAAATTGTTTAATACACTAACCAGATCTCATTTTCTTAACGTTCAAATGATTCAACCGATTAATCCAAATGGTGTTTCTTGTTCATCATTCCTTCTTGCTGCTTATGGAACTGATAATCAATTCACAACCGAAGATACATTAATGAAGTGGATGAGTGTTGTTAATCATTGTAATGAAAAGCATGGGAGAGTGGTCGGTTTTGCCACCGACTGTGATCCACGTTATTTACGCTCAATGCGTCTGTTCATGGGCTTTTATGCTGACATGCCAAATCAACAAATTCATTTACGTGATGATGCCTTTCATGCTAAAGTTCCTAAAGTAGTTTCAATATTTCAAATTATCCAACTTTTCATACTGCTTTCTTTTTCTGTTATAGAATTGGAACTGGTTCTTTATGAGAAATCGTCAAATGATATTATTCTTTCAAGACGGCATCCATTTATGTACCAAGCTAAGGAACAGATTGTTTTCTTCTAAAGCTACAATGCTATTAGGTGATGAACTTATTAGTATTGATCATCTTATTCAACTAATTGAATCTTCATAAAAAATGAACCACAATTTAGTCAAGTCAGACATTCTGCCAAAGGATAGGCAGAATTATTCATCTTGCGAAAAAATATCAAATAAATCTGTTCTTGATGGACTTGTTTCTATATCAAACTCACGTGGAACTCGAATTTACCTTGAAGTATGTCTATTTACGAGTCTAAAGGTATTAAAAAATCTCATATATATTTTCTTTTTATACCCTAGCTCATTCGAAATATTCGTTTGGCTTTTATCAACAAGGAAACTAGTTATCTTGATCGAATTTACTACTCATGGAAAAATGTCTTCCTGATCCGATATTGGTACATCTGGTTAAGTTCAAAACATAAAAGTGATCTTGATTTAATTCTTTCCAAATTACCTTCTACACAAAAGCATCAAAAGAAAAAAACAAAGCAGCAGTATTTCATTAGTCTTCCATCACTTTTTTCGATCGAAATCAATAGTCACACCCTCGTCTATCTTGGTCTACTCGTAATTCAAAATCGTTTACCACCACAGTGTTTGAACGTATCAATATTTAACTCACAATCTTGTGAGAGTACCTTTCGTTCATGTCGTGCAATGTCAGGACCTTTTTCCTCAATAGTCAATTTTAATGTTCATCAATTTCTTCAACGAGTAAAGAAGTTATCTTATTTAAATTCTATTAAAAGTCGAAACAACAGCAATAATACAAATACCGATATTCTATTTCCACGTCATCACAAACTATCAAAAACAATTGATTCTAAACAAATATCGCCTTTATCATCTTCTACTGCATCACTTTCACTTGAGGCGATCGAGAATACTATTTTACGTGCATATTCCGATGTATGTAGTCTAGTAGTTGATATGAATATCTATCAACAAGATCAAGTTTTACCACTAGAAAAGATGTCTAGACTAGCTAATCTTCAACTAATGAAATCACGAATAGTCGATTATTCTTGTCCTGATAAATATGATTCGGATTTCGATTCGGATTCAGACGATAGCAATTCTGAAGGAGATGAAGAAATCACCGCAAATGATGCTGATGATGAAGACT